CACCCAGTACCGCCACCAAAAAAAAAGAGAGAGAGAGAGAGAGAGAGAGAGAGAGCGCAAGATCTCTACTAAATAGTTAATAAAGAAGTTAAAGCATAGTAAGGATATTTAAAAATTAAATATACTCCAGCTATTTGTGGGTCTGTTCAAAGCATCTTTTTGAGTGTGTATATACAAGCACACATGCCTGAGCACAAAGCTTTCTCTCTGGTCACAATTAATATGCCTTGTATACCATCCTTCCACCAAGCTAGCAAACTCTTATCAAAGAGCTCTGACACCTCTCCTGTGCCTCCATAAACATTTCTCAAGTTGATGGCAAAATGGAAACAGTAGTTTCAGGGCATATATTCACCACATGGTTTCACATACCCAGGTACACTTCAAAGATTTCATTAAAAACAAGTTTAACAACAACAAATCCAGTTTAAAAAATGGGTAAAGAACTTGAATGGGGACTGGAGGTGTGGCTCAAGTAGAGTGCTCGCCATGAAGCCTTGAAACAAAACCAATGGAAGAACTTGAATAGACATTTCTCTAAAGACATACAAATGGCCAATAAGCATATGAAAAGAAGCTCTACATCACTAATAATTCAGGAAATGCAAATTAAACCACAATGAGATACCATCTCATATCCATTAGGATGGCAACTATTAAAAACAAAAAAATCCCAGAAAACAGCTCTTCATTAAGATATCCTAGAAGGCAAAGGAAGCTCCTGCCCCTGCCAAAGCTGAAGCCAAAGCAAAGGCTTTGAAGGCCAAGACAGTGCTGAAAGGTCTTCAAAGCCACATAAATATATCCATAAGATCTGCACACCAATCACTTACTGGTGGCCCCTAAATATTGCGGCTCTGGGGGCAGCACAAATATCTCATCCAGGAGAAGTATGCTTGATCACTATTGGCATCATCAAGTTCCCCTTGACAGAGCCTGTATGAGTAGAAGACAATACATTTGTATTTAGTGTGGATGGCAAGGCTGTGAAGTTCTATGACAAAAAGGTGGCCAAGCTTGACAACTTGAACAGGCCTGATGGAGACAAGGCTCCTGATTATGATGCTTTGAATGCTCCCAAGAAAACTAAGCTGAGTTGGGGGCTTAGTTCAGCAACAGAGTAAGTAAGCATGAGGTCCCGAGTTTGATCCCCAGCACCAAATGAAAAGAATGAGTCCAGGTGATCAATTTTAAATGTGTATTTTTATGTATTTTTACCGTAAAATATGTAATTTTACGGTAAAAATACCCAGACAGGCCAAACACTGGTGACTCATGCCTATCATCCTAGCTACTCAGGAGGCAGTGATCAGGAGGATCACGGTTCAAAGACAGCCCAGGCAAATGGTTTGAAAGAGACACCACTACAAGGGCTATCTCTCATGTACACCTTTCTTTCATCCATCTTCACATCCATCACTACAATAATTTCCTAACAAGTATCTCTGATGGTTATCCAGCCTCTGTATCACTACTATACTTACCATTAAATCAAAATATACTGTTTATTTTGTTTCAGCACTGTTCTAGGCTCTGAGAAGAGTGATGAAATTGGATATAGCACTCAGTGAAGTCACAATATGGCCGTGGGGAGAAAAAAAAATCATTTAATTTTAGGTAGTAAAAGTGCTATGAAGTGAAAGCAAGCAGGTAAGAGGTAAATTACTGCAGAAGTCAGACAAAGCATCTCTGAGGTAAACTGACATTTGACTGGTAACACGCCCCTAACTGTATCATTCCAAGAACGTCTATTTTACTGGAAAAGTCGTGGTGATATGTACCTAGAAACTGTATCTACAACTAACAAATATTCTGTAATATGCAAAAAGTGACTATATGGTAAAATGACAATGCAGTGGGATGACAAAAAGTGAAAAATGAAAATGAGTATACGCTGGTAGAGTGGCTCAAGTGGTAGAGCACCTGCCTGATAAGCGTGAGGCCCTGAGTTCAAGCCCCAGCACTGCCAAAAACAAAGAAAATGAATTGCTACTTTCTTTGGCAGAATAGCACTGTGTGTTAATACTGTGGAACTAAAGGAAGTCATGTCAAAGAGAAGTGAGCACTGAAGTACTCAGCAAAAACTCTTCTTTATAGATCCTGGCCTACATCTTCCAAATACGCATTTGTTTCTGATATTCCCTTCAATTCAGTAGCTCCCCACAGTTACTCAATTAGGCTGGAATGAGACCCTCCATATGGTAGCAAACTATTTTACCATTCATATTGCCCAAGATTTCCCTACATGTACTCAGTTTCCCAAGAAAACCAAGCACTATCATGAATGCTCTTCCCTCTACTAAATCTTTCCACTAAATCTCACTATTATCTACAACAAAGTCTAATTCTTCAAAGCCCCTGTCAAATATCAACTTCTAGAATATGATCTCCCCAGAGAAGCAGTATCTCCATCAAATTCCCTTTCTGATCTTAAAACACCTGACATTTAATCGTAACTATTTGTGTTCTTGTTTTATTTCTCAAAGTTCACAATATAGATTTCATGGGTGAAGATACAGATATTTTTTAATCTCTTATGCTATGTTTTGCAGAGTAGATACTCATTATTCACGCTTATTCAATATATGAGATTCAAGAGGATCTACAAAACTTGGCTAAGGAGAAAAATCCAGGATGGCATAAAGTCGTACTTGGTATGTTTCAGAGCACAGAAATGCTATGATTTACTAGGAAATCATAACAGACTAGTAAAATAAGACCAGCTACATTCAAACTCTAGCCTTACCAGTAAATTGATACCTCAAGGAAGCTATTTAGTTTCTCTGGGCCCCAGTTTCTCCATCTGTAAAATGTTAAGAATACCAACTACCTCAAGGGTTGGAGTTAAAAACTAAGTTCATACACAAAAATACATTTAACAAAGCCTGGTACATAGGCAGTGCTTCATACATGTCAGCTGACATTATGTTTACCATCTTCTCCAGAAATCAATTTCTTCATTGGTAAGCTGATAATATCAGATCTCTTTCAACTTAGAGATTCTTATCTAAGTGCCACAAAATACTGAAGATGTCAAGATCACTAGGAGTTGTCAACTGGGGCTAAACTTCACAGGAGAGCTAGAACCCAGTCTAGGTTCTGCAAGCTGGATAAAGATGTTTGAAGGAAGATGACATCCTAAGAACGAAAGAGAACTAGCAAAGGCTAAGAAGTGAGAATGGGAGTGGAACCTAAGGAAGACAATCTGGCTAGTTTGTGTTTTGGGTAACAATGGAAAATAAAATACGGTCTAAATGACTTTAAAAATAATGGACTAAAAACAAATGGTTATATAAACGACATTACAATATCACTTGAATTTTTGGAGATTCTAGGTAGAGGTATAGTGACAGTTGATTAGCATCTCCTCTACCTAATAAGCTGCCTATTTATCTATACTGGTCGGTTCTTTAATGAGAATATGTAATTGCTGGACTACCGTATTTTAGAAGCATCACTTGTCTGTTGGTTTAATGAAACCAAGGGCTGACTATGACTATGATAGATTTGAAGAACTGTACTGCTTCGTGAATTATACAACATTATTACAAGTCAGTTCAGTTGGTTCCCATCTCCTGCAGAAGGTGAAATCCTCCTGATAGCCTATAGGCTCGGGCTGTTTAGCCCACCACTTATCCTTGTCTTTTCTGACCTTATCTCCTACTACTACCTCCTTTGCTCAGTGCTCCAAGCACATTGGTCTTATCACTGTTCCCCTAATGGGCCACCTTTGTTCTCTTCAGGGACTTTTTGCTTGCTGTTCCCTTGCTGGGAACATTCCTTTCTCTGATACTATCATGGCTCATTCCCTCACCTCCTCCTCTCTAAAAGAACTTCCCTGACAAATCTATTAAAACTGCAACACCTCACCATTCTCCTTTCCAGCTTTATTCCCCCCCTTAGGCAGTAATTATCATCTAGCCTACAGTATAATATATCTATATGTCTATCTCCCACTGGAAAGTTACGTTTCATAAGGGAGAAGCCAGAGACCTATTCCTAATATCTAAAACAGTGCCTAACACAGTAGGCACCAATAAAATTACTTGAGTGAATTACACACACACACACACACACACACACACACACACACACACACACTGTCCCTTCTAGTTACTGGAAAAATAACCCCTTTTTTCGCTGCTGAAAACTTTAAAAAAATTTTTTTTTAACTGAACAACTTACTGGTAATTTCCTACCCCAACTGAGCTGGGCTCTAGAAAGTTGAAGTGAATTAAGACACAGACCCAGTCTTTCAGTTGCTGTACACGGCGCAGGATACAGAAACATCCTTTACAAAAAGTAATATTCGAGAAGGCCATAGGGAGTTGAATGACAGCCTACAGGATTCAGTACAAAGAGGAAAATGCTCACAAAATGGTAAGAAAGCAATATAATCCAGTAGACTCTGACTTAAATGACAGCTTCTCCTTACGTTTTTGGTACGTGTGCTTGCAGTCCACATAAATTATTTACTCTCATCAGACAGGGTCCCAAGTACGCCACAAAAAAAGTTTGTAAGTATGGTGATGCTAATCGCTGGATCTACTCATGGTTTCACAAAGATGACCGCCTTTTACAACCTTCTAACTTCTCAACTTTTACTATCGGGAGCCCCTATTTGGGGGCCTGCAGCTCCCACCCGCTACCTCCTAGGGTCAGAATCCTCCCTGTGGCCATCCCTACCTCGCAGCCCGACACCGAGCAAATCCCTTCCCCTAGCCCAGCAGGCGCCGCCTCCGGAAAGCCGCCAAGAGGGCCTCGCTTAAGACCTGCGAGAAGCGGGAGCCGTGGGAAGGCAAAATAGTTCGGAAGGCTCCCTCAAAGCCTCGACCCGCACTCCCGTCCCTCCCAGACCCCTGGGCCGCCGGGAATAGGAGGCTCCGCCGAGTCTTTGTTAAGCAAGACCGCGGCTCCACGGCCCTCGCTAGGCCCCACGGTTGCCTGTAGTACCCTTAAGGGCTAGCGGGCCCGCATCTGGACATCTCCTTCACACAAACCTGCTGCTATGGCTGCAGCCGCAGCTGCTACAACCGCAGGCGCGGAGAGAGTCCCACGGACCAAAGTACGCGCGGTCCGGACACTGTCCCGCCGCGCTCCTCCTTCTCCGCCCCCTTCGCCGCCACCGCCGCCTCTCGGCCGGTTGCTGACGCTGGGAGGGAGACGCACACCTGACATGCGCAGTAGCGAGAGAGCAGGCGGAGGGGCGGGGCCTGAGCTACGGTTCCCGGGAGGCGCCGCCAGCGCCCACCCTTAGATTCTGAATCCCTCCCAGGCGCCTCAGACAAAATGACGGAAGCCTGCTTCTGGGGGGAGGTTGTTAAAGACTCGACTAGGAAGTGGGTTTCGAATGAAGAAAGAATGGCAGTGACAGGGAGCCGCCCAAAAATCCCAAGAGGAAAGGGGTTGGCCGGAAAGTACATTTGCGTTAAAATGCCGACTTCTCTCCCCAACTCTGGTCGTTGCAAATGTGACTTAAGCAACATGCCTTTGACCACATGGTTTCGTAGAGCATGGCCACCTTTAGCTTCCGGAGCACTAGTTGAGTGTGACGTCGACATGGACTACACCCTAATGAAGGACGGTATCAGCTAGTGCACTTCTGGCCCGGGGGCGGGGATTACATAATTTTCCCAGCATCCCAACCTCGCCTCAACTGGGCAGGGGAGGAGAGCCGGTCTCGCGCGTTCCGGAGACCGAGTCCCGCCCCCACGCCGTGCGCAGGCGCGGGGGAACCGCACGCATTCTACGTAACGGACGGCTGAGGCTACGTGAAGAGTGGGGCGGCGTGACTGAGCGAGCCTGTTCCTGCTGTGTCCAAGAGGCATCGCTGCGGTTGAAACCTTTGCGACCGTGAAGGCGGCGGCCAGGCTAGAGAGGCAGGCTGGGTAGAAGTGAGCGCCTCGAGCGCGCCGGGCCGGGTTGTAGCCTCGGGTGCAGGTAGGTAGCGGGTCTTGACTCGTTAGTCGGTAGGTCCAGGACGGCCCGAGCGGTGACTAAGTTGCGTGGCTTATAACCCGGTGCAGTTTCTCACTCAACCAACCTTTACTTAAGTCCGGGCGGTAGTGACTTACGTAAATCCCGGCGATTTCTCCTCTCTCCCTACTTTTAAAAAGAAAAATTTAAACCTCTCTCCACTCTTTCTTGGCCCTTTTTCTGTTGGTCTTTCGGGGGTTGAAGGTAATTTTAGTGGTTTTGGGATCTTCTCTGCAGAACTGTGAGCAAATGTCAATTAGACAATTATATTAGACAGGGTTAGAGGCTGTTTCTACGCGGAAGAACGGGGTTTGGAAATTGGGATGAATGGATTCTCCGTTGTGGAGAAAGACTAGATACTAGTGATTTCACAGAAGCAACTACTTCTGTAGTCAACCTTCTCTGAAGGTTCCTGACACAAAGCTTGCATTTAAACCAGTATTTTTTTTAGAAGACAGAGAAGTGCCTACATCGTTTCTAAAAATCTTATGTTTTGACGTTAACGTCATGAAGGCCTAATCTCAAATTAAAATAAGGAATGATTGCTCCACTAAGTCCCGGGTCAGTGGCTGAGACACTACTGGGTGAGCTTGCAGAAGGTAATCCAATCGGACATATTAGTGCTTGCACCCCACTTCGGTTCTGTGTTCCCGTCTTCAGGAGTCATAGAGGCTGGGTGGCTTGGCAGGGAGTTGAGCATTTGAGAAATGGGTTGACAGGTGCAGCAGAGACTTAAAAAAGAGGAAAGCCAATGCACAAATGGTTTGGATAATTTTAACCTAAATAACCTTCAAGGAGCCCTGCTACAGTGCTGATTTATCTTAGAAATGCTTCTACTGTATGAACATTTCAAGTAGAAATTCAGTTTCAGATGACCAGACCTTTTAGCAGTCAGTTAATCAAGTTGACTCTACCAAGTTGCCTCTGAAAATAGAAGCACTAAATTGGAAGCTTTTTAACTTCTAGAGTGTGTTCATAAACCACAGCAGTAGGAAGGGAACTAATGTTAATTGAGTAGTGCTGTCTGTGTGGTGGGTGCAGTAGGAGATGTGTGCCCTCTCTTAGCTGTTAGGATTTTTTAGGAAGATTTTGTTTTCTCTCCCTCTCTCCCCCGCCCTCCCCTTCTTTCTCCTCTTCTCTCCCTCAACCTAACTCTTAATTCTTTCTGGGTAATCTTATTAATTCTAACACCATCTCTTTCCAGCTCAAGCCTGTATCCTGAACACTTTACTTATATTTCCAACTGCTTCCTTTTCTCCCTCTGTAAAATAGGCCTTTTGTGGATATTGTGAAAGTTACAAGATAAATGTTAATTCTTTAACATACTGCTTAAAACCTTGAACTTGCATTTTTTTGTTTTTTTTTGTGTGTGACTGTGGTTTAAACTCAGGGCTTCACTCAGGGCTTGCAAAGCAGGTGCTCTACTGCTTGCACCATGCCTTCAATACATTTTACTATGGTTATTTTGGAGATGAGGACTCTTGAATTATTTGCCCAGGTTGGCCTCCAACCTCAATCCTCCTGATCTCAGCCTCACAAAGTAGGTATGATCACAGACATGAATCACCAGTGCCCTGCTCCAAACTTTTAAAATAAGAACTAAATTAAATTTATTACCTTCCCCCCCATTCATCCCCCTCTTTATTGTTCTTTGTCTCAATTAATGATGATTTTGTCCAGCTATTCATTTAAGTAAAACTTGGAATCACTGCAGTTCTCCCTTGCCCATGTTCCCTATAGCTGATTGTGTTGGCAAATATAATTCTTAAATAATCTGTCAAATCACTACCACTGCCAGTTAAATAGTGTTTTATCGAATTATCTTAGGCACTTCCTATCTTTCCCACTTCAAGTGGCCTTCTCCAGTTCATTCTACCTATAAACTGTTAGGGTTAACTTGCAAATCTGATAATGATACTTTTTTTGGGAGATAATATAATTTTCCTATTTAAAATGCTCTAGTAGCTTCTAGTTATCCAAACTTCTTAGTGTGGTATTTAGTAAAGATCATGATCTGGTCCTGGCTGGCCAGATCTGATGCCTACTTGGGTCTACAGACCCACTGCTCTATCAAACTGATATGTGTTATTTCAGGCCTCAGTGTATCTTCTTCATAAAAGCATGGTTTTATTTTATGTTTAAAGAATTGCTTTCATATTTTTAAAGTTTTTTTTTAAAAATGTGAACATACTAGTATCTGTTCCACAAAGCCTAAAATATACCTGACTATTCAGAAAAAAAGATTTTGTAGGGCATCAAAATGGACCTGGTTTTTTTAGATAACAAATGATATAAGATTGGTGTTTAGACAAAAGGACAGGACTGAAAATACAGCCTAAGTGATTTTGATTGTTGAATTTGTGTGTGTGTGTGTGTGTGTGTGTGTTAAAATGATTGCATTGTTGTCCATGATTTCATATATTTTTGTCACAGGTATGGTTTCATTATACTTGTTCACAATCTTGTTCAGATATTGGAATACTTAGTGTTTTTTCCCAAAAGCTGTAAAATGCTGTTACTGAATTTCACCATACATTCTAGAAGCAGTTTGTAGTAGAAGATTAATAAGTAATCTTATTAAGAAAGTGATAAAAAGCCACAGCTTACATTTGAGAAGCTGCCTGAGAAATGGCTCGTAGCATGGCTTCTGAAAGCAAAAGTCTGGGATCAAATCTGTCACATGGTAGTTGTATTACTTAGCACCTCTGTGCCTCATTTTCCTTATCTGTGTTTTAAGTGTTCATCCTTGAGATGACAATGGCATTTGTTTAGAAGTGCATGTATGTACAGGGTAAACACAAAGATCTAAGGGTGAATCCCCGCCCCTCTCCCCTGCCAGGATCAAGTCTAGAGCCTTGCACATGTCACATAAAGGCTGTAGGAAACCTCCACCACCAATCTACATCCCCAGTTCTGAATGTCTTTCTTATTCATGGGTTACTTTTATAACTAATTAAAGATAAATATTTGCATCTTATTCCTTTATTATATCCCCTTCCCAGTTTCTTTAGGAAGCTTTTTATAGGTACTCAAAAATGCTCATTGAAAAGAAGGAAAAAATGCTTATGGAATATTCAGTGTAAATGGAAAGGGAATGTTAGAGAGCCCAGCCTAAAGAAATTAAATGACTTGTCCAATATTTTACAGATAAGTAATGACAGGACCTTTTTTTGGAGGGGGGGGCAGTACTGGTGTTTGAACTCAGTGCCTCATGCTTGCTGGGCTGCTCTCTTATCACTTGAGCCACTCCAACAGTCTTTTGTGATGGTATTTTTGAGATAGGGCCTCACAAACTATTTGCCTGGGGCTGGATTTGAACAGGGTTCCTCCTGATCTCTGCCTCCTGAGTAGCTGGGATTCACAGGTGTGAACTATTGGTGCCCAACTGGGGTTTGTAGATTTTTATTAATAATTATTTATCTAACATGATCGTCCTATATGTAGAATGGCAGTTCATTTTGGGGCTCTCTTGTTCTCTTTTTTAAACTTATTTTTAAGGTACAATGAAAGCCTTCCATGCATTCTGTGTTGTCCTTTTGGTGTTTGGGAGTGTCTCTGAAGCCAAGTTTGATGATTTTGAGGATGAGGAAGACATAGTAGAGTACGATGATAATGACTTTGCTGAATTTGAGGATGTCATGGAAGACTCTATTACGGAATCTCCTCAACGGGTGATAACCACTGAAGATGATGAAGATGAAACCACTGTGGAGTTGGAAGGTCAGGATGAAAACCAAGAAGGAGATTTTGAAGATGCAGATGCCCAGGTGGGGTTCTTTTATTATTGATTTCTTGGGAAAGTCGAAGAATGGGAAAATTTGTAATCAGCGCTTTTCCAAACATTTTAACAGTAAGATCCAGGTATAGGGAGACCTTTACTCTCTATTAAATCTTCATTTTTGTTCAGTAGGTAGAGCTCTTCTAAATGTCTTATGGTATATTCCCACCTTTTACGTTTATAAAGTAAATTGTGTTTTTTCCTGTAGCAACCCTGGGTGGAGAGGGAATGGAGAATAATAGATAGTATATGTGGGTATAGAATGTTGTCACTTAAAACTTTGGGTTCTAAAGTATAAAGAGTCATCCTTTTGGTATTTTGGTGGTTTGTCTCAGCTTTATTGAAGTGTAAATGACAAGTAAAAATTAGGCACATTTTAGCTGCACACCAGTGGTTCACACCTGTAATCTTAGCTACTTGGGAGACTGAGATTCGGAGGATTGCAGTTTCAGGCCTGCCCAAGCAAATAGTTCACAAGACCCCATATCCAAAATAACCACAGCAAAAAATGGACTGGTGGTGTGGCTCAAGCTATAGAGTGCCTGCCTAGCATGCATGCATGAAGCCCTGAGATCAAACCCCAGTGCCACCAAAAAAAAAAAAAAACAGATTATATATATTTAAGTTGTACAGCAAGGTATTTTTGTTTGTTTTTGAAACAAGGCCTGTAGAATTCCACTCAGTCAACATGGTATTCTGATATCTGTATACATTACCACAATCGAGTTGTGTAACATATTCATCACTTCATGTACTCCCTTTTTACATATATGTGGTGAGAGTCCTTAGAGTCTATTGTCTTAGCACATTTCAAGTATATAATACTTTATTAGTCACCATTACCATGCTCCACTGTACATTAGGTCTCTGGAACTCGTTTATCATGTAACTGAAAGTTTGGACTCTGTGATATTTTGTTAAAAGCATGTAATATTTCTGTTTTGTGCTTGCTGTTTACAAGTTGTGTTTTCCTCTACAAATGTTGCCCACAAAATGAGACACAACTGCTGGTGACATTTGTGCAGGAACACAGATTGTGCTTCACTTTGTAGGAGGGAGATACTGAGAGTGAGCCGTATGATGATGAAGAATTTGAAGGTTATGAAGACAAACCAGACGCTTCTTCTAGCAAAAATAAAGACCCAATAACAATTGTTGATGTAGGTATATCAGATTCTAAATTCCAAACCAACCAACAAAATTATCTTGATGCCACTAATCCCAGAAACATAATTATTATATGTGGTTGATGTTGATGTTACACTAGACACTAGGAAAGAGCTGGGCATCAGTTCTAAACATCCACACCTAGAGAAGCAACTCCTATGTATAAGTCCAGCTCTTTTAGTTTTACTGAATCAAGAAATAATAAGTGGGTAACATTGGACATATGTTGGGGTGGGACTCAGAACCAAGTTTAACAAAGCTGACCTAGAAAGCCAAAATGAGTATATTTTTCAAACTATAACCATATTCAGTAAGTTATCTAAAGTCTCCACTAATACAGGTTTTCTCATTTTTCATCTGATACGACTTCATCATTCAGCCTCAGCCAACATTAAATGGAATCACTTTACTTCTTTAGGTTCCTGCACACCTCCAGAACAGCTGGGAGAGTTATTATCTAGAAATTTTGATGGTGACTGGTCTGCTTGCCTATATTATGAACTACATCATTGGGAAGAATAAAAATAGTCGTCTTGCTCAGGCCTGGTTTAATACTCATAGAGAACTTTTAGAGAGCAACTTTACCTTAGTGGGTAAGTTAAGCCAAAAACGTGTCTAGCTGTCTGCTTGAAAACGGTGGTAAGAATGGTTTATTCCCTCAGAATAAGCACCTAACTGCTTCCATGGACTGCTGCAGAGGATGAATTTTTTTTTTCTTTCCAAGAAAGTAATTTTTTTTTCTACTGAGTAAATTTCATTTATGTAATAATTCCTTCACCTTTCATTAATCAACAGTATAATTGCTAAACAGCTTTTGAATAATCAGTGTTATCAAAATAAGCTGATAAAGTTCTGATTAAAACCAAGAAATTTTGACATTTTAGATACCTCTATAAAATTCTTTCAATTAACTTTTTAGAAATTGGAAATCCCTCAGAATGCCCTCAAGTTCTGGGCACTTTTATTTGAATCCACTGATAAGGTACACACTGAAGAACTTAAGAGTAGTGTTTGTAGCTGTTTAATAGGCGTTGAGGGGACTTGCCTCACATTACCCACTACTTGGGATTTAGCACATTTTTCTCTTTAATTCTAAGTACCCAGCCTTCTTCTTTGCTCTTTAGCCAGCTACTTTGCATACATTGTTTCTTTTTTTTCTTTCTTTCAGGTGGTACTGAGGTTTGAGCTCAGAACCTCACCTTGCCAGTCAGGCACTGCCACTTGAACCACTCTGCCAGCCCACATTGTTTCCTATTCGCTTTTTGTAACAACTCTGTCAGTTGTATATATAGTAGTTTCTGTTTTTATAAGGAGAGAACTAATGTTAAAGCTTGTCTAAGCTGTTAAATTTCTTAAACCCATGACATTAGAACTATCTCCCTTTTTCCAAAGTCATGCTCTCTCCAGTGCTCTCTCCTTTGTACAATATTATTTCACAGGACTTTTTGACCAGGGAATGAGAAAAAAATAAGCAGCCTTTGGCTTATTGTCCTCCCCTTGCTCATTTTCATATGGTACCAAAGCGTATAATTTTTAATGGGGATAATAAAGAGTTTTAAAAGTAAAGGGAAGCCCCAGTCCACTAGCCTGGACTGCAACCCTGGGCACCCCAGGACACATGGCCTACCAAATGGCAAGCCATCTGCCCACAGCATTGGTTCCTGCTGTGCACTAGTAGCTGAGGACAGGTGCCATCCTCTCTGCTCCCTGCACATAAATTCACAGTTAACATGGATGGATAACAACAGAAAATGGTAGAAGAGTAGAAATCAGCAATTTTGCACAGGAAACTTTGGGAGGTGTTTGCTGTAGTGTGCCTGCAGTTGGTACAAAATTGAAAAAACAAGATGAGTTTTGTGCTTTGGAAAGTATGAAAGCTGCTAGTGAACTCTGTTCTCTATCAGAAGTAACTGGAATTAATGAAGCTCTTACAGGAAATTTAAGACTTATCTATAAATCTTGTTATGAAGATGATTGGCTGATTAAGGTGACACTGAATAACTCTTAAACTAGTTGAGTGAAGAAATGCAAGAAAAATACATTGAAAATATTGAGTGAAAATTGAATCCTTAAAGTAGTATAAGATAATAAATAAAAGGAACGATGCCAATCTATTTTAATTCCTGTCCAAAGGAGATTCTATAAGATAGCAAAATATTCCTATCTTAAAGCTATGGTATTTTGGCATCAGAGTAGAGGAAGGTGTGTGATTAGACTTCCACATTTTCATTATATCAAGTGGTTTACTCCTAGGTGATGATGGAACTAACAAAGAAGCCACAAGTACAGGAAAGTTGAATCAGGAGAATGAGCACATCTATAACCTGTGGTGTTCAGGTCGAGTGTGCTGTGAAGGCATGCTTATCCAGCTGAGGGTAAGTAAAGAATTTCTAGACCAATATATATCTTCCCTTAAATTTTTTTCCAAATGTGATTCCTAATTGAAATTCAGTGCCTTTATCCCTTCATGCTTGATGTAAAGTGAAGTCTGAATATTATATTTGTTCTAACTGGCAAATGTGCTGTTGAGGATATTTGATGAATCATGTGTTTTCCCCCTCTGAGGCCATTTCTTATAATCAGAAGTTGCAGTTACATTAACTCACCTCTCATTTTTTCAGTTCCTCAAGAGACAAGACTTATTGAATGTCCTGGCTCGGATGATGAGGCCAGTGAGTGATCAAGTGGTATGTATTCTTGCTGGCTTTCTGTGTGCAGACCAAAGTCTTTAGTTAAAGCTTATTCCATTTCTGCCTGCGTTGTATTAGCATCTTGTGTCCCTTGCCAAAAAAAAAAATTGACCTTTTTCTTTTTGATGGTACAGGGGTTTGAGTTCAGGGCCTCATTCGGCACTCTACCACCTGAGCCTGACATTTTTCTATTTAGAGGGGCCATCTTCCACTAGTATCCAACTATTAGGAGGCTTTCATGTGCTCTTTTTGGAGGGAAGGAGATAATACTTTATCAGCTTCATTAGCCTTAATAGAAGGAAGATAGTTTGCCCTAGTATCCAGTTCTGCTCCTTGTGTCTGGTTTTTTTTCAATACTAGGGCTTGAACTTAGGACCTTAACTTTGAGCCACTCCACCAGCCCTTTTTGTGATGGGTATTTTTGAGATAGGGTCACACAAACTATTTGCTCAGGCTGGCTTTGAACCGTAATCCTCCTGTTCTTGGCCTCCTGAGTAGCTAGAATCACAGGCATGAGCCACCAGTGCTTGGCTAAAACTAGGCTAATTTTTTTTTTTTTTTTTTTTTGGCGGTACTGGGGTTCACACTTAGGGTCTCACTTGCTAGGAACTCTACCACTTGAGCCATTCCACCAGGCCATGTCTGCTTTTTATCTTTTGCCAAAATTGAGTTTCTCCTCAAATATTTTTTGCTTCACATAATTAATTTTGATGAAAGAACTTAAGTCACAATCCAGGAACCTTATTGTTAGGTGTACCTTCTTTCCTTTATTAAATTAATGGGTTAATCTGCAAATTGTGCTCTTAGAAATGCCACATCTTCTCCCCTCCCTGGAAAGAGATAATGTCAACAAAGACATTGACATTGGTAGCGAAGACGTTGTTTATATTTAGTTGCTTTTTTTTTTTTTGGGCTGGATTCTGCTGAAGGTGTTGCTTTGTACAACTTCTTATAAATGATAGAAAAGCAGAAAACTTTTTCTTTTAAAGCTGCTATAGTGTCAGGTCTTTCCCTACTTTAGTATTTCCCTTCTACATACAAATAATTATTTAATCCAAACATTTAAAAATACAACTAACATGACAAATAGGACCACATTTTATCATATCAGATGCTTTAGGCTTACAACTTTATCTCCCTGGTCTAGTGCAGAATATTAATATCTACCTGCCTAAGGGTGTTTACCAATATCGACAACCAAGTCTTGGCTTCAGAGCCAAGTATCTAGCAATTCAATTTCAGCTTCAGATTCCACAGTCTGAAAGGTTCAGTCCAATAAGACTACCTCTCCAAATCCTAGGCACACACTAGTGTGTGCTACACACACTTCTGATTTATCAAATATAAACACAACCTCTTGCAGGGTTCAATAATTTGTTAGAATGGCTTACAGAACCCAGGAAAACACTTTACTATTAAGGGTACAACTCAGGAATGGCCAATAAAAGTGATGCAGTGAATTAGAGAGGGGTGTGTGTGGAATTCCCATGCCCACCCTAAGCATGCCACCCTTCTAGCACACTGATGAGTTTATCAATTTAGAAACTCTGTTCAAGAATTTTTGTAGAGCTCACGCTCCATCTTTCCTCTCTTCCTACTCAGCCCTCCCAGAGGTTCTGAGTAGGGTTGAAAGTAATTATATACTTAATTTTTCTGGTGTTCAACTCCATTCCTATGGCCACCTAAGCACCACCTTAAATCATTGCATTAGCATAAACTAAGTTTGATTGAAAGGGGTTTCTTATCAATAACAAAACACACAACATTCAGGAAAATTCTAAAGGTTTTAGGAGCTGTATGCTAAGAATCCGGGACAAAAACCAAATGTATTTTTTATTGCACCACTGTCCAATATATACCTTGTTTATTGCTGATTCTTGTACTTGAGTACTCTTTACTAGTATTTTGTTGCTATATAATAAATCACAAATTTAGCAGCTTAAAACAATACTGGTACATTTATTATCTAACAGTTTCTGTAGATAAGGAGTCCTGCATGAGCTAGCTGAGTCCTCTGCTTTTGGGTCTTAAGAGGCTGAAATCAAGATGCCAGGCAGGCTAATTTCATTCTTGGGGTCTTTTCATTCATTTATTGTTGACAGAATTCAGTTCCTTAGAGTTGTAAGTTCCTGTTTTCTTGCTATCTGTCACCTGGTAACTGCTCTCACCTCCTGGAGGCCACTCAGAAGTCCTTATTACCCAACCCCCACCCCATAAGCCTATTCATTTTTCTTCTTTAGATAAGGCCCAATCCTTTTTAAGGACTTGATTGATTAGGTTACACACCCAAGGTTTATTCAGAGTCAACTGATTAGGGACCTTCTGCCTTACTACAACATAATTATGGAAGCGCTATCCTACCATATTCATAAATCCTACTGAAAAGAAGGTTGTTTATACCAGAAGGCTGGGCTTTTATGGATCATTTAGAAATCTACCTGCCACAGACACCAACAGGTAAATTTTGTTTTGTTTTTTTTAAAGCAAATAAAAGTAACCATGAATGATGAAGACATGGATACCTATGTGTTTGCTGTTGGCACACGGAAAGCTTTGGTGCGACTGCAGAAAGAGATGCAGGATCTGGTATGTCAGATTGTTCCAACTCAAATATGTGTAGAAACTGCCTCTTTGTTGCATAGCTAGATGTTCAACCTCAGAGCATAATATAATCTTATCACTCAGATGTTATTCAGCATCACTTTGAAATAGGTCAGTACATAGTCTTTTCGGGGAAAAAGAGCTTAGTGCATCGTAAAATGTTGTGTCTTATTTTCAGTTTCCTCTTTCCCTAGAGTGAGTTTTGTAGTGATAAACCTAAGTCTGGAGCAAAGTATGGACTGCCAGACTCTTTGGCCATCCTGTCAGAGATGGGAGAAGTCACAGATGGAATGATGGATACAAAGGTAAATGCAATAGAAGGTTTACATCCAGGGCTAGGGATGTAGATCAGTGATAGAATACTTGTCTAGCATGTGCAGGGTCTTGAGCTCAGACCTCCGCACCACAAAAAAATAAATTAATTAAAAAATAAAATAGCATAAAAAGTTAATGTTTTAGCTATGTCCAGTAGTACGTGTGTATAATCCCAGCTCCTGGAGTTGAGACAGGAGGATCACAAGTTCCAAGCCAGCCAGGAAAACAGAGCAAGACCCCATCTCAAAAACAAAAATGAGCCACTTCTCAGACATATTTGGCTTTGAGAGGGCACTCTTCATAACAGTAAATTGTGTAAGTTCTTCACTTTGTCAATGCACTAATTATGTATTATTTTCTCACACAAATATTAAAATACTTAACTTAGACAATAGACTAACTTGTCAGAAAGACAATTTGATAACTCAGAAGTTCTCTAAATCAAGAAAAAATTTTCCTGGGATTCCTAATGGCATTCAGGTTTTCTGAAAAAGAAATGTAACTTTAATCCTTTCTCCGTGTCAGTTACTACATAGTGCACAGAGAGCCATTTCTTTCTATTGGTTGAGTGATGTTAGCATTTCTTAGTTACATAAAAAAATAAGGTCTGGAGGTGCTGCTCAAGTGCTAAAGCACCTGCCTAGCAAGTATGCAACCCTGAATTCAGACCCTAGAACTGCCAAAAAAAACCGATAGGATTAGATCTAAAATGTAAGTTCTAAGTAACATGCTTATAAAAAATTCTACTAAAAATTTTTTATGTGTCGGGGGGAGGGACTTACTAGGATTTGAATTCAGGGTCTTGTTCTTGCTGGGCAAGCTTTCTACTATTTGAGCCACACATCCATCCCTTTTCACTTTAGTTCATTTTTCGGGTAGGGTCTCTTGTTTTTGCCCTGGCTGGCCACAGGCTCAAATCTTTTGCCTAGCTAGAATTACAGATTTGTACTACCATACCCAGCTTGATTTTTGAGATAAGGTCTTGCTAACATTTTTGTCCAGGTTGGCTTTGAACCATGATCTTCCCATTTCCTCTTGTGGATAGTTGGGATTACAGTTGTGTGCCACCATGCCTGACCTGGTGTGTGTGTGTGTGTATGTGTGTGTGTGTGTGTTGTTTGGTTTTGGCAGTACTGGGTTTTGAACTCAGGGTTTCACAGTGGCTAGCAGGCACTCTGCCACTTGAGCCATTCTTCCATTCTTTTTTGTGTGTTCATAGAGTCTCATGAATTATTTGCCCGGGGCTGGCTTCAAACCAAATCCTCCTGATATCTGCCTCCTGATTAGCTAGGGTTACAGGCATAAGCAACTGATGCCCAGCCGTTCTGTGCATTTTTTGACAGGGTCTTGCCATACAGCCCAGGCTGGCCTCAAACTTGTAATCCTTGTAATCCTCTTGCCTCAGCACCCCCAAAGGCTTGGATTACAAGCCTCTGCCACCATGCCTGGCTAAGATTTTATCTTTGTGCCTTCATTATAATGTTTTGGTCTGAATTATATTGTACAAAAGTAACTAAGACTGAAGGGTGACTATCTTTATGAAAAAAGAAAAATCAAACCCTACTCTAAGAAAATAACTTTTCTTTCTTTGTTTCAGATGGTTCACTTTCTTACACATTATGCTGACAAGATTGAATCTGTTCATTTTTCAGACCAGTTCTCTGGTCCAAAAATTATGCAAGAGTACGTATGAAATAAAAATTTTGAAATTCATTTTCTGCAATAGCTTTATGTTGAAACACCCCGGGTGCTTCTGCAGTTTTCCTTACCATATGAGTAGGGGAAGTTGGTGACAGCCTCCTAATTTTCCTTTGCTTTGACAATTTGCATTATGAGAGGTCTTAAAAACCTACAGGAGACAATCAGTCTAATGCTACTGTACTTTGCATGGGTCCCTGCATGTTTGCATCACCCACTTAGGACAATCTTATAGAATGACTGATACTAAGAAAATGCAACTGCTAGTCCCTTCCTCTCCCTGTCCCCTTTTTTTCTTTTTGGCAGCACTGGAGCTTGAACTCTGTTTCATGCTTGCTAAGCAGGCTACTAATCTGTTTATGATGTTTGACTACAAATCTGTGTATTTTATAATACCTTTTCTGGCCTTTGTCTTTTAAGAATTGGGTGATTATATCCTTTCCCAGGATATTATTAGGTAGTAGTTTCTAGCTTTACAGTAATATTGTTCAGGTGTGCATATTCAGGGCTTGAATTTGTTCTTTATATCAGTCTGTCTCAGGAGAGCATAAATTGAATTTACCCTCAATATAAAACTGGTTCTGACCTAAATGTTTAGTTACAGGGCTGCTGTCATAGGCTGTGGAGTTCAGTACAATTCTGGGGACCTTGGGTTCATTTCCCAGCTCCAAAATGATAACAGCAACAACAATCTATTCTGGATTTTAATTGTATGTTAAGATTACTCTGGTCTTTATGCTTATAGATAGTTTTGCATCATCCTTGCCTTGCTTAACTTGGTAACAACACTAGGGATAAAGTATCATGTTGTAGCATTGATCAAGCCTTTCTTTGTGTGTGTGTGTGTGTGTGTGTGTGTGTGTGTGTGTGTGCGCGTGCCTGCGCACATGCGCGCGCACTGGTGCAAGCCTAGATGTATATAGGGGAGTGGTTGACAAAGGTCAAGGAATCTTTGGTGATAGAACTAAATTTAAATAATTATCCCTTCAGATCCATGGCAATCTATTCTAGGACTACCCCTCTCAAATACCAAAATCTCAGGATGCTCAAGTCCCTTATATAAAATGATGTGTTTGCATATACCCTATGCATAACCCTTCCTGTAAATACTTTAAACCATGTGTGGTTACATATAATACCTTATAGGAGGTAAATGCTGTGTAAGTACTTGTTACACTGTATTGTTCAGGAATAGAAGTAGGATTTTCCCCAAATAGTTCCTATCTGTGGTTGACTTAGGGCAGATGTAGAACCCATGAGATGCTTCATTATAGGAAGGTTGCCTAGGAGCTAGGAATAAAATCAAACTAGCAAAAATGTTATTTAAAATATGGGCCTTGGCGGAGCGTGATGTTGCATGCCTGTGATCTCAGCTACTTGGGAGCTGGCGGTAGGATTGTGATTGTAGACCTGCCCTGACAAAGTTAGTGCAATTCCCTCTCTGAAAAACAAAAGCAAAAGGACTGGAATCGTGGCTCAAGTGGTAGAATGAGGCCCTGAGTTCAGTCTCCAGTACTGGGAGAAAAATGAGTATGAGCTTCATACTGAAATTATAGGCTCATTTCTGCTCCCCAGATGAGATGGAGTATATTCTGCTTGTCAGAGACATCACTGGAGGTATTCAACTATAGACTAAAGGTTACTTGGGAATCCATCCCTAAGATAGACAAGTGGACCAGGTGACTCTAAAGTTCCTTCAGGCTCTGAGATTATATTTGACTTGGAATTGCCTAGATACATGCCACGCTGATTATTTGTCCATTTGAGTGAATTGGGTGACTTTCGTGCATGGAAAATGTCTTTCTTATGTTCCCTCTTAATAGACTTTTCTTTTATGACAGGGAAGGTCAGCCTTTAAAGCTACCTGACACTAAAAGGACACTATTGTTTACATTTAATGGTAAGTATTCTGGGTCCTATCTGGGTTCTTAGTTTTCTGTGAGATGATCTTAAGGAGGATATTGTTCATTCCCAAATGATAGCTGTAATACTGCATTAAAACTAGCTTCATGATTGCGTGTTGATTTCTGGGTGTCTTCAAGGATATAACCTTGAAATTTTAAATTTTAATTTCTTCTTTCTACTGCATTTTAACTGCTTAAGAAACTTAGAGAAAAGTCTACTAGCAGTTTTTAAAAATTGGCAACCCAGAAGTATTAATGCTATCATTAACTCAGTAGGAAAATGGCTTTGTTTTCCAGTGCCTGGCTCAGGTAACACTTACCCAAAGGATATGGAGGCTTTGCTACCCCTGATGAACATGGTGATTTATTCTATTGATAAAGCCAAAAAGTTCCGACTCAACAGAGAAGTAAGACCTAAAGCCTTTATTTTGAACTGGCATCTTTTATGTTTTTTTTCCCCCCCCAGGGGGAGCAGCTGTCAGTGATTTCAGTGATTGAATCTTTGCTAGTTTACTTGACAGTACCAAATGGGAGTGGTTTTATGAAAGAATGCTAAGTGAGATTTTCTTCTGTTGGATAGCAGTGGATTGCTTATGAAAGACTTTGTTTCTTGGGTAAAGGGCAAACAAAAAGCAGATAAGAACCGTGCACGAGTAGAAGAAAATTTCTTGAAACTGACACATGTGCAGAGACAGGAAGCTGCACAGTCTCGGCGTGAGGAGAAGAAAAGAGCAGAGAAGGAGCGAATCATGAATGAGGAAGATCCGGAGAAACAGCGCAGGCTGGAGGTAAGACAAACTCTCCTTATCTCTGGGATGAAATTGAAGTTTTTATTACCAGTATGCTATGTGTACATGGTACACAGGCTAAAAGTTTAGTATTTTCTCAGCATTTTGGATATTTTGTCAGTTGACAGCACTCTAAAAGGGAATAAATAATCCTTCCTTCCTGTTCAAACCACACTAGATTGAGTTTCTGAACCTCTAAAATGATGTTAGGTATCCTGTTCCACTTAACAGTCCCATTTCAAACCAAACAATACTGTAGAAAGAAATTAGGAATTTTTAAGTCAGTTAAAATGGCAGCAGAAAATAGAAATTGAAAATTTTTACAACATAGGCCTTATGTTGTAAATCAACTTGTTATATAAAATTTAATATTTGTTTTTATAATTAGTGATTTTAATATTTTTTTGTGTGAATTCTATTTTTTTACCTAACTAGTATCTCAAACTTGAGCTTTTTAGGCTGCATTATGTTATGTTTAAAAGAGTAGCATGCTCTGTGAGAGGCCCTGAGTTCAAACCCCAGTACTGAAAAAAATAAAATCAGCATGTTCTGGTAGTTTGGTGAAATAAGCAGAGCAAAGCTCTGGAAGATGTGAATTTCATCTTCTAGAGTTATCTCAAGGATTGAAGAAAATTCTTCAAAGCAACAAAGTATGAGCTGCTATGAGGCCCTGTAGCACCAGCAGAATCATTAATACTGTTGGGGGAAGTGCCCAGGATATTGTAGTCCTTCCTCTCTCTTCCTCATCATGCTTTGTTTGATTGGTTTTGGCTAGTTAGTGGGCATTTTTCATATAAAAATTTAGCTGTGTTTATGCAATCTTCTCTATAAAATCAAAATAGCCTTTTAAAAATGTATGCACATGAAGAATCTACACAGGAATCATTAATATGTAATGCCTTTTATCTTTCTATGAAGTAAGAGGTTCTTCATTTATATCTAGGGTTTGCAGCTACGGTGAGTTAAAGGAAAGGGGGAAGCTGGAACTTAACTTGAGTCAGATTATAAGCTTTTTGTGAATGTAGCTAGGATTACAGATGTGAGCCACTGGTGCCTGGCATTATAGCCCAGGCTGGCCTCAAACTCGTGATCCTCCTGCCTCATCCTCTTCGCCTCGTTGATTATTGGTGTGCACCACCATGACCAGCTGTTTTCTTATATATTTAAAAACAAGCCAGGCACCCATGGCTCACTTCTGTAGTCCTAGATGCTCAGGAGGCAGAGATCAGGAAGATCGAGGTTCAAAGCCAGCCCAGACAAATAGTTCCTGAGACCCTGTCTGGAAAAACCCATCACAAAAAAAGGGCTGGTGAATAGAGGATCCAGATATGAAGCCACACAACTATAAGCAACTTATCTTTGAAAAAGGAGCTAAAAATATACAATGGAGAAATAGCAGCCTCTTCAACAAAAACTGCTGGGAAAACTGGTTAGCAATCTGCAAAAAACTGAAACTAGATCCATGTATATCACCCTATACCAAGATTAACTCAAAATGGATTAAGGATCTTAATATCAGACCCAAACTCTTAAATTGATACAAGAAAGAGTAGGAAATACTCTGGAGTTAGTAGGTACAGGTAAGAACTTTCTCAATGAAACCCCAGCAGCACAGCAACTAAGAGATAGCATAGATAAATGGGACCTCATAAAACTAAAAAGCTTCTGTTCATCAAAAGAAATGGTCTCTAAACTGAAGAGAACACCCACAGAGTGGGAGAAAATATTTGCCAACTATACATCAGACAAAGGACTGATAACCAGAATATACAGGGAACTTAAAAAACTAAATTCTCCCAAAACTAATGAACCAATAAAGAAATGGGCAAGTGAACTAAACAGAACTTTCTCAAAAGAAGAAATTCAAATGGCCAGAAACACATGAAAAAATGCTCACCATCTCTAGCAATAAAGGAAATGCAAATTAAAACCACTAAGATTCCACCTCACCCCTGTTAGAATAGCCATCATCAGCAACACCACCAACAACAGGTGTTGGCGAGGATGCGGGGAAAAAGGAACCCTCTTACACTGTTGGTGGGAATGTAGACTAGTACAACCACTCTGGAAAAAATTTGGAGGCTACTTAAAAAGCTGGACATCGATCTACCATTTGATCCAGCAATACCACTCTTGGGGATATACCCAAAAGACTGTTACTCCAGAGGCACCTGCACATCCATGTTTATTGCGGCACTATTCACAATAGCCAAGTTATGGAAACAGCCAAGATGCCCCAGCACTGACGAATGGATTAAGAAAATGTGGTATCTATACACAATGGAATTTTATGCAGCCATGAAGAAGAACGAAATGTTATCATTCGCTGGTAAATGGATGGAATTGGAGAACATCATTCTGAGTGAGGTTAGCCTGGCCAAAAGACCAAAAATCGTATGTTCTCCCTCATATGTGGACATTAGATCAAGGGCAAACACAACAAGGGGATTGGACTATGAGCACATGATAAAAGCGAGAGCACACAAGGGAGGGGTGAGGATAGGTAAGACACCTAAAAAACTAGCTAGCATTTGTTGCTCTCAACGCAGAGAAACTAAAGCAGATACCTTAAAGCAACTGAGGCCAATAGGAAAGGGGACAGGAACTAGAGAAAAGGTTAGATCAAAAAGAATTAACCTAGAAGGTAACACCCACGCACAGGAAATCAATGTGAGTCAATGCCCTGTATAGCTATCCTTATCTCAACCAGCAAAAACCCTTGTTCCTTCGTATTATTGCTTATACTCTCTCTACAACAAAATTAGAGATAAGGGCAAAATAGTTTCTGCTGGGTATTGAGGTGGGGGAGCAGGAGGGGGCGGAGTGGGTGGTAAGGGAGGGGGTGGGGGCAGGGGGGAAAATGACCCAAGCCTTGTATGCACATATGAATAATAAAAGAAAAAAAAACATAAAAAAAAAAAAAAGGGCTGGTGGAAAAAAAAGTAAAAAAAAAAGAAAATTAAGTTTGAGATTATATCTGAAACAGGTTTTAATCAGATGTGACCACTAATAGTCAAAAGTGAGGTCATAATTTAATTTGCCTGGTAATAACCAGCCAAGTGGAATCTGCTTCTTTATATAGGCTCCAAATTTCTAATTAAAAAATACAATAAAAATTCCTAGTTGAACCTTATGAATTGAAGTATTGTGCTAAGTATGCTGTCTATACTAATAGGAAGAGATTTACACTAAATAACCTGATGAAACAAGATTTTTTTTTTTTTTTTTTTGGTGGGACTCAGATTTGGGCTTCAGGCTTGCAAAACAGGCATTCTACCACTGAGCTACCTCCAGTCTCAATATAAGATTTCTAAAGTTTTTCTGAACTGAAATACAAACCTTAGCACATACATGTAAATAGTATGGTGAATGTTGGCCAGTGTTTTCATAAATATAGGAAAAATAAGACCAGAATCACAAAGCCTAGTTCAATGTAGTGGTTAGTTTCTGTCTAAATTGAGATTTTAATTTCCTTTGCCTTGTTTCAAATAAATTTAATTTTCACTCTCCAACAAAGATATTAGCAGTTTTTTTAATTTTCTTTTTTTTTCTTTCATTAGTATATATTAATTGTACAAAAAGGTTTCATCATGGTATTTCCACACGTTCCCATAATGTACTTTGATCAAATTCACCCCTTCTATTACTCTTTCGTATATATATATTCATTCCCCTCCCTTAGCAAATTTTATGAGTAACTTCCAGAATGTTATGTATGCTGCAAACCCAAGTTTTCAAACACTATTGCTTTTGATTTTTGAAAACATGTTCTTAGACCTTAGTTCTTTTTTTGGGGGGCGGGGAACTGGAGCTTGAACTCAGGGCCTTCACGTTGAGCCACTCACCAGCCCTATTTTTGTGAAGGGTTTTTCGAGATATAGGGTCTCATGAACTATTTGCCCCGGGCTGGCTTCGAACCACAATCCTCCTGATCTCTGCCTCCTTAGTAGCTAGGATTACAGGTGTCAGCCACCTGCAGCTGGCTAGAGCTTAGTTTTGATTCTCTCTCTTCTTCCTTTCCCTGGCCCCCCTTTACAGGAAGCTGCTTTGAGGCGTGAGCAAAAGAAGTTGGAGAAGAAGCAAATGAAAATGAAACAAATCAAAGTGAAAGCCATGTAAAAATCATCCCAGAGATCTGAGTCTAATGCCACCTATAAGCTCTGAGTTCACAGCAAACAAAAAAAATATGAGTCCATTTCTCATCTTAAAGTTCACACACTCTTGGTGACTAAGAATCCTTATTTTATCATCTATTCTACTCTTGGTTTGGAGTTCTACAGAGGTTGTAGATACATTGAAAGGGCTCTGTTTGAGTAATTTTCTTCCAACTAATCAAATTATTTTAATTATTTTATAAAAAATAAAATATAAAATATGTGTAGTTTTAAAATATTTTTTAAATTATAACATTAATCATCAGTGCTTTTAGTACTCTGATGTTTGAAGAACTATCATGTAATTTTTAGGTAGATAATTAGGTTGTTGCTTTTTTGTTTAAACCAGGCAGTTGAAATAGCTATGGAGGCTGACTCTAAACCAAGATTCCACAATTAACTATTGAAACTGCACAATAAACATTGCTTGGTGTTTTCTTCTGTGTCTACATTAAACTTGTGAAAAAGTAATATTTAGAACGCTATGTGGAATTTCAGGAACTCAAAGCAATGCAGTATATGTTTTGTAGGTGGGAAGTGCTGATGACAGTATTATAGGAAATCTGTGGGTGTTAGGATGCTAATGTGTACATGGAAGATTGTAGGGATAGGTAGTTGAGCACAGTTTTCTCCTGATACTATGAGCTGATAATGTGAACGCTGAATTTAAAATTGCTGTATGTTTATTTTTCTTGAGTAACAAATGCATGAAAATTAACTGCTTCACCTAGATCAGATCAGCATCAGATCATTGGTCTCTGTGAGGTCACAGATGTTTTCTTTTTCGTTGCTGCCACATATTGGATGTTCACAGAGAAGCTCTATCCTCTGTGTAATGACTGTGTACCTTTACTTCTTCCTCTGCTTTTATCTCTTCCACAGTTGAGGTTGGGTATATTCTTTCAAAGAAATCGCCATGGATATGCATAAATATGCTTTAAAAAATGAGCTTTCCTAAACTATTGAGAGTTCTTTCTGCCTCTTGAAGAAGAAACTCTTGGGGGAGAGGCCCATATATCTGCACAAGTACTTAGCTTGTTCAGAGCTCTGCATTTTATAAATGCTTCCTACTAAGAAAGCATTTTTTTAAGTCACTTGTACCAGGTAATTTTTGCTGGGGATGTGAAAGGGTTGGAGTTTTTTTTTTTGGTGGGAGTGGGTGGTTTTGTTTTTGGTTTGTTTTTTTGTTTTTTTGATGCTTTATGTGCAGGTCTGTTTTGAGGCAATAATAATGAGTTGCTGTGAACACAGCATGTGCTGCCATCTTTGTAACTACATGGGAACTTTTCACATGGGTTTTCTCTAGATTAATACAGAAACATCTAAACTGAGAGATGCAGATAGAATATTTTTTAACAGTTCACAAATTTAAATTATTAAAGTGACAGAAGTCACACATATTACTTTAATGCTATATAATTCTAGAATTAGCCTTGTATTCAAACTTTTAAAGTACATTTCAGAAATCAAAGTTGATATATATAGCTATCTTTGAGTAATATAAGGTTTCTTACAGTCCCACACATTTGGACCATAGCAGCTAATTTTGTAATTTAAACATTCATATGAATTAACTATGAACATATATTAAACTGATTGACAAAATCTCAGAGTGCTGCCTTGACTTTTCTGGAGTTATCCTACAAGACTTTATTGCCCATCATTAAAAGTTAGCACTGAAATTTTTTTTTCCTTCAAGAGTTGATCTTGAATATTCCCTTTGTTGCTATCACTTATTTTTAGAATGTCATATATTAGAGACCCCAGTGGTTTATTTTTATTTATTTAATTTACTTAGTTGTTTTCATTTATTTGTAGTTCTGAGGTTTGAACTCAGGGCTTCATGATTACAGGCACGAGTTCTACACCAGGCACCTGGACCACAGTCCCCAGTATAGTTGGGATGGCATGCATGTGCCATCATGCCAGGCTTTTTTCCGTTGAGGTGGGGTCTTGCAAACTTTTTTGCTGGGGCTGGCCTAGAACCATGATCCTACAGATCTCACCCTCCACACAGCTTAGAAGACAAACATGCATCATGCCCAGCTATTGATTGAGATGAAGTGTCAGAACTGTTTGCTTTGGCTGACCTTGGCCTACAGTCCTTCCAATCTCAGCCTCCCAGTTAGCTAAGATTACAGACCTGAGCCACTGATGCTCAGCTTGTTTTGTTTTTTGAGAAAGAGACTCACTACATAGCCCAGTCTGACCCCAAACTTTGTGATCCTCATACTTTAACTTCCCAAGTGCCAGAATACTAGTGCGTGCCACCACACCTGACCCCATGTTATTAATGGGCTCCTTCTGTAGTCCCTATATTAGCTTTCTGTTGCTATGACAAAGTATCTGAGGTAATCAACCTTAAGTAGGAAAGATTTCCTTTGGCTCATAATTTCAGAGGTTGTCCCTGTGGTGAGGCAGAACATCATGATGGGGATCTTGGGGTGGTTCAAAGCAGCTCACCTCATGGTGACCCAGAACTAGACAGAACAAGGAGGGTTTGGGGTCCCAATATCTTCAAGGGCATACCCTTAATGACCTAACTATTTACCCCATCACCACCCAGTAGGGCCACAGGCTGGTGACCAAACAAACACATAGCTTTTGGGAGACATTTAAGATCTAAACCAGGCATGGTGGTAGAGTGTCTGACCTACCCAACAGTGAAACCAGAGTTCAAACCCCAGGACTGCCAAAAACCAAAAAAGATCTAAACTATCCTCTTGGATAGGCTATATCTCTTATGAATGAGAGGTAAAAAGAAAATGTTATTTATTGTCACACACTGGAAAACCACTAAGCCCTCCAATCTCCCTTGTCTGAGCACTTAGCAGTGCTGAAATAAGCACTGGACTGGCAAGACCCAGCTTTGGGTGCCACAAAGACCAATTGCTGGTTGGGTGTGGTGGCTCCCACCTGGAATTAGCTACTTGGAAGCAAAGATTGGATGGATCACTAGCCTGGGCAAAAAGGAAGATCACCATCTCAACAAATAAACTGGGCATGGTGGTGCACACCTGTGATCCTAGCTAATATCAGAAGCCATGGAAAATCACAGTCTGAGGCAAAAATGTGAGACTCTACTTAAAAGACTGAAGCAAAAAAGGGACGGGAGGTGTGGCTCAAGTAGTGGAATACCTGCTTAGCAAGCACAAGGCCCTGAATTCAAACCCCAGTACTGCTAAGGAAAAAAAAATGCTAATCATTTGACTTTAGGCAAGTCAATAAAGATTACTCTTTGAATGTGTTCATCTTTCTATAAAGTGATTTTCCCTACAAATTCACAGGTAGTTCAAAACCAAGAGATAATATATGTAAAACTGTAAACACTTAAGCATATTACAAAGGTATCATTTAGGACTGTTCTCAAAATGGTATATTTTTGCTTTACTCTCTTGTTTTTCCTTCTCCCAGTGGAAATCAAGCTGATCCTTTCAAAATTCTCTAACTTTACTGCCAAGATTGACGGTAGTTTTGGAGAAGAGTGGAATTGCTTACGATTGTGTTTGAACCTTTTCCTGTCAAATACCACTTGGGACAGAGACCCAAGTGCTATTCTACTTTATTTTTTTCAACAGTGCTGAGGATCAAACTCAGGACTTCATGCATGCTTGGCAAATGCTCTACTCCTGAGCTACACTCCCAACCCTGTCCTAATGCTTTAACAAGTCTCCTTCCTGAGCTGGCAGAGTGGCTCAAGTGACAGAGCACCTGCCTAGCAAGTATGAGGCCCAAGGAAAAAAAAAAAAAAAGAAAACCCCAGGGCCAGTAGAGTGGCTCAATTGGTAAAGTGCCTGCCTAGCAAGTGTGAGGCCCTAAGTTCAAACTTCAGTCCCACCAAAAAAAAAAAAATTTATTAGGGGCTGATGGAGTGCCTCAAGTAGAGCACTTCCTTAGCAAGTTGACTAGGATTATTTAACTTACACAGCATTTTCATATCTCAAAGAACTGCCCATTATTTTTTATTGTCTTCTAAACAATCATTTTAGAAAGGGGAGAGTCCATTTGTAAATGGGGAAATAAGACTTGTGGATTGTGTGTGTGTGGTTTTTTTTTTTTTTTGCAGTACTGGGGCCCCTTTTTTGCAATGGGTTTTTTGAGGTAGGATTTCAAGGACAATTTGCCAGGGCTGGCTCCGAACCGTGATCCTCCTGATATCTGCCTCCTGAGTAGCTAGGATTTCAGGTTTGAGCCACAGGCACCTGGCTAACCTTATTAATTAAACTTTCCAAGTCTTTTTTTTTTTTTTTTGGCAGTACAGTTTCAGAAAGCTCTAGAGGTTTTGAAAGTGTTCTAACCCTTAATAAGTAAAAAGTATTAAAGAGCTTGTGCAAGGAAAAGTAAAGCTAATTTACTGCTCCTTTATCAGGTAGTTAATGTTAGTCTGGATTTTATGATGTTTATATCTGTAATGTGTTGTCATTCAAATAAACACTTTTGCCAGGTGCTGGTGGCTCATGTCTGTAATCCTAGCTACTCAAGAAGATCACAGTTCAAAGCCAGCAGGAGCAAATAGTTCAAGAGACCCTATCTCGAAAAAAAAACCATCTCCAAAAAGGGCTGGTGGAGTGGCTTAAGGTGCAAGCCCTGAGTTCAAGCCCCATTACCGCAAAAAAAAAACAAAGCAAAACACAGAAAACAAATGTTTCGGGGGCTGGTAGAATGGCTCAAACGGTAGAGGGTCTAGCAAACTTGAGGCTCTGAGTTCAGGTCCCAGTGGGAGTGGGGGTAGGAGCTCTAGCTCTTACAGGAGTTTTAGTCTACCAGGACTGCTTCATTTCTTTAGCCCCACATTCCTTGGCTTTGGCTAGATAGTTTCCCTATCAAGACAAATCTTATCACAGGTTTCTTCAAACAAGGTGCATCTGAGTTGTGGAAGAGGAAGGGGTAAATAGATCCAGAAGGAAAAAAAATTTTTGAAAGATATCAGTGGTGCTATTTTCCTCATTTCACAGATAAGGAACCTGGAGAACAGAGAAAGTGGGTTTCCCCTTTGCAGTTTGTTCCTCTGGTGCCCCGAGAGACCAAAGCAAGACACTGGAGATGTATTTAAAGAAAATTGTGAGATGTATTACTCCAGTTAAGTCCCATCACATTAAATGATTCGGA